TGGTGCTCTCTCAATGACTGCTTCACTGCTACTGAGCAGAACAAAGGAAAACTAGAGCCAACTGTGGTAAACATCACCTGAACTAAATAATATGCAAAATCTTAGCTGTAAAGTTAGTGAATAACTAACATTCATTCCCTCGAAAAACAGGTCAATTGATTCATGCAAGGTTTGGTAAAAGTTAGAACACATAGTTTGCATATTGTTCTCGTTATACACTTCCATCCACTCATAATCAACAAGCCACTGCCCATATGCTCATAACTTACTGTCCGGCATGGGACGCACAATGTGTTTTCTTATAAAGTTAGACAAGGTAAGCACCTTGCATATAATGGTCATTGTCATCAACAGCTTCAATTGCAACAGCAGCATTATTGACATCACTCCCTTTCATGAATCGGTAACCTTCTTCTGACAAGCACTGTGGACCATCACCTCCTTGCAAAATACTGCATGCCACAAGTTTTCCGGATATTTTATATCGATTATCATTTAGTAAGCCAATGTCATCCTTTAAATCAATTAAGGTAAAATAGCAATTTTTTGTTACTAATGAAATTGCCTTTTCAATAGAATCCATCTTAAAATGGAAATATTTGATATTTTTATTTATGGTATTTTTTGTTGGGAGACTAACGTACCGTCATTTCTTTTGGTTTTCCTGTTTCTGTTGTTTTTATTGTTTCCTTTAGTTGAAAATCTCCGATCTGAGTTTCCAGCCGTATTTTGTCGGAGCAATGTGTGAGAGAGGGCATTGGACCCTTCTCGTGCTCATCGGAATCAACATGGTCTGCCTCGTTCAACTGTTGAGTTGAAAAAAGATTATGTTTCTTCTTAGGAGAGTCTCCCTTTGCCTTCCCATCTTCAGTGTTAAGGGCATCGCCTTTCCGCTTGCTACCACCACGTGGGTTCACAGATATATCCTGATCCTGTGGCGCCAATGTTGTTATCCAACTCTTCGTGGATAAAACTAGCGGATGCTCCAGCCCTTTCATGCTACATGGTTGTTTTTATAGATGATAAACCATGGGTATCATAGTTTATCATAGTTTATAGTTTTATCATTTGTTAAAAGAAAATTATATACTTACGAATTTCCTCAAAAGTTTTTGAGAAATGTACTAAACGTGTACTGAACCCTTCACCACACAGGTTAGCATAAATTAAGATAAGCACCATTGTCACAAGAATAAACATATACACAAATCATGGGCTTAGAAATTCACCCAAGCTTGCCTTTTCTACACAAAGGCAAGGAAAATTTCAAATTAACAAATAAATCAGTAAGGGGTTGTCCAACATTTTCACTAGTATACAAACAGTACTCTAGGGGAAGAGGTAAAAAAAACATGGCAAAACAAAGGTGAAACCTAATAATAAAAAAATTTACATTTTTTATATGCTTTCAGAAGGGTCCAAGCCATATCACCATGAGTACATTTTTGCTGTTATTTTAATCAAGTTCAATTCAATTTAACATTTACTCTTTATAATTTATGTGGGTGGGGTCAGGGGAATGACATTTTCAGGCTTAAAAATGGTTTTCTGGGGTCTAAAATAGAAATGTAATAATAAATGTATCAAGTACTATGAAAGCATGGAGGAATTCCTCCATGATGAGAGAAGCGGCAAGTACTAGTATCAATTTTTCATTTTTTTTCCCATTTTAAAATGTAACCTCTAACCAATGTGGATCCACCTTTGATAAATGTGGACACACTGCATGAACATAAGGGAATAAAAATTGGTGCCCTTTAAAACCCAACTAATGTGGATCCATTATTTTAATATATGGACCCATTTCATACGTTTGAGCTAACAATATTCATCAATTTTCACTATACATGCTATATTCTAAATCTTGCAAGTGCACCAATAGTTGTGCTATGTCATTCATCACCTTATTGTGGTGTTCTTACTGTTGTCCTGTGTGACAATACTGACGTTGACGTTAAATTATTTTACCATTATTTTACGGTGCTCCAGGGAGATATCACGACAGTGAAAGAATTACACAGACCTCAATTAGAGGCATCTTAGTATCAGATTTAGCCTATGCTGAAATATTCTAAAGGTCTATTCTAATATCTAGGGCTTTTAATTCAGATTTATAACTATTACATAAATGTATTAGTGTTACATATAAATAATTTCACAGTCTCATCTTAGAATGTATAGTATAGTTTTAAACTTATTAGATTATTATATTTAAGTAATAATCTACTAACTAACAATAGATAAGCTACAGTAAGAACCATTTTTAAGGACGTACACAAATAGACGAAAATAGGGCCTACTACGGACATTTACCTTAGGTAGACTCATAGTTAATAGTTCTGCACACTGTTTAATAGTTCTGCACACTGTTTAACAACAAACGACTTTTCAATTAGGATCTTTACTTTGGTTACAACTCTTAACACAACTTTACATCATCAATGAATAGTATGAACGATATCACATGGTTACTGGAATATATTTTGCTAACTTGAGAAGTCTGANNNNTTACTTTATCTTGTAGCTGTCTCTTATACACATCTAGATGTGTATAAGAGACAGTATATATATATATTTACAGGACTACATTTGAATCTATTCAACCATGAAGCCTCCGTGGTCTAATTCATTGAGAGCTATGCTACACGATGTATTATTATGTATTATTATTATATATATATATATACACATACACATACAGTATAAGCATATATATGTCCACTCCTGTCTGTCAGTCGTTACAGGCAGTTTTTACATTTCCAGTCCAAGTCATTTAAATCGTCTATCGTCATATTGTCAATATCCATAATGTCCTACATTGTCGGTGAAACCACCTGTCACATTCCTCACATCCAATCCAGTCGTCCGGTTTATCGTCATACTTATTATTACATTTACTACATATATTAATATATACATATATATATATATTCTTTTCATTAGCCTCTCGTTTTCTACTCTTTTCCTCTCTCTTCCTTTTTCTTTCTTCTTTAGCCTCTTCCTCTTCTTTCTTTTTTTCTTCCTTTTCTCTTAGCATCTCACGATACGCGGCACCTGATATCACATGGGGGAGTCTTTTCTTTATTTTACTTTCATCCTGCTGTTTTGATGTTCTCTGTGGGTAGTGGAGATGCTCCTCCAAGGATGGAGATACATATGTCTCTGCCATCCCTTTGGGATATGTTTGTTTTGCATCTTGAGGATTTCCTGTACGATAAAAATCGTAACGGTACTGGCTGCGGCTGGTTTCAGATGAGCTACCGTTGGTTTTGGAGGAGCTTCCGTTGGTTTCGGAGGAGCTGTTGTTGGTTTTGGGGGAAGAGGCGGCTTCGAGGCATTGTATAGTGCTGCCCACGCTGAATACATGGGATCCGCGATGTCATAACCCTCGTCAAGCCTGTCATAAGGCTATCATATCACCACTGAGGGTGGATTCAAGAGCAAGAAGGGCGGTCTTCGTAGATGATGATGATTTTGATGATGTTGATGGCTGTGATGTTGTTACAGATAAAGATGATGAGGATGATGCTGTGTTGTGATATACTGTGGAGAGCAGCAATTTTTCGGCGTCTATGGCGGCTGGATTGAAAGAATATATTCCACATTTCCAAAATCCGGAAATAGCATTTTTTGACTTTGCGCCTTCTTTCCAAGCCGTTGCGAACACCTTCGAAAATGCCTGCTTGGTCACGACCTGGCCGGGATGCGTTATCATATACTCTCGTACAGTGTTGAACCAAGCGGACTTTACTGACTTATAAACAGCCACATTTTCCACACAAAAATCGGCCGTCTTGATATTAATTTCGTCTGCATTAAACAGCCGATGAGGGTCACTGAAGACCTCCTCATTCCCACTCGTAACCATGTATTCTTGGCACTCGTTGAACCATGCCTCGATTTTAGCCAGGGTGACATCTGCCCTTTCCCTTCCCAAGCCCTCCGGCAGCCTCATTGCCAAGTCTGGATGTCTCTTCATAAAGTTGGTCATCCATTTACGTCCTGGTAAATTATCTTTGAAAGGATTCGGGCGGCCATCTGCTATCATTTTCTGTACTATTAGTTTTAACTCTAACTGGCTGGTTCCGCCCGTAGCCAATAGCTGCCATCCCCTTTGCCCACTCCACAAGGTTAAGTTCCTCCACTGTGTTGAATCAAGCGGAGTTTTTCCATTTACTTTATCTTGTAGAGTGGCTCGGGGGATGGCATACATACGAGCGGCCGCCATGCCATTTTATTTTAACAAACATATGTAACATATGTAAAGTCATTTTACAGGAGGACAATGCCTATCAAATAACTTAATAAAAAAAATCACTAAAATTCGTCAAATAATTCATCACTATACAAAGTGCATTAACAGAAAAGGCTCAAGAAGTGTTCACCAGACGAAGTGACAGAAGGTTATATCAAAATTAAAGAATCTATTTTATCCACTTATGAATTGGTACTTTGTAGAGTTTGTATAGGCATCTCAGTAGACAAATGGTCCTATCTCACCAGTCGAAAGAAACCATCAGTGTTTGTAGCAACATGGGGGACCAAGATTCTCAGAAAATGGTTTAGAAAAGATGCATACCGTCAACCGGGGTAACTTTGGCAGGTTTATCATATATCATATAAATAGTAATAAAAACTAGTGATTAACACATATGAACACGAAAATAAGTTGTAATTGTCAATTAGGATTTATTTTCTTCACATTAAGCAATTAAATATTCTATATACACATCATTTAAACTTGTTTTAAGAAAAACTCTTCAACGTTGACTTTTACTGTTGACTTTAACAGCTACCACAGACAAAATCATAAGCGTCATCAAGTCCATGGTAAGTGCCACAGACCCACATTGTACAAACAGTACATTGGAACCAGTCTGGGCCTACATAGCTATTCCAATCGCATTGGCATGTTACACAAATATTATCATTAGTATTAGCCTGAGCTGACGTTGAAGCACGGTTATTAATGGATTGTGTGGACTCGGTCAAAACTTTGGCCAATCACAGGCATTCGCTTGACCACTTCGTTTGGATTTTATGGGCAGAGCCCACATGCTCGAAAGCCAGATGCCAAGTTCTTTGGCGTATTTGGCTTCAATTGGTTAAGCAGTGACAGAAGCAAGGAAGGAAAAATTTCCTTTGGGATTGTACCTTGCAAGCGTGACTCTACCCGCCACTTGTCTAGTATCGACTTCCACATTATTTTGGCTGGTCTGAAGAAGGCAACGTCCAATGGCTGCGTTAGGTGTGTGGTGTTAGGTGGCAACGAGGTGAAATAAATATTTGCCTCTTTCGCTTTGTTTACTACATCAACTGAGAAATGAGAGGCTAAATTGTCTCTAACAAGCACCTTGACACCAGGCTTATCAGCTGTGTGTGGGATGAATATCTCAAAGAACCATCGTTCAAATGTCTCCATGTCAAACCAGCCACTTTTTGTGGCTGCATACTTTACACCAGCAGGGCCTCTTGCAACCCAATTCTCATAAAGGTTTTGTGCCTTGTACACAACAAATGGCGGCAACAAAGTTCCTGCAGCATTGCCACACATCATTAGCGAAATTGCCATTTTGGAGTGTTCTTGGACACGTTCCACTCTGGTGCTGCCTGGGTCATCAGTCACATTTGTTTCATCATAATTGTAGATGTTCTCAGGGTCAATGTTTTCCACAACGTCCTTAATATTGTTGAAATATTCAGTCATTGTTTCTTGAACAAAATCCACGAATGAATTCATCTCCAGGAATATTGTCTTTGAAACAGTTCACAATTCTGTCTTGCTTAGTCAGGTAGTTGCAGATCACCATCTTGAGAGCATGTATGCTTAAAGGGTATCCCCATCTTGCAACTTCAGCAGCTGTTTGTTCTGCAGCTTATTTTGCAAGGTGCCTCTCGGGATACCATACTCTTGGCTGGCCTTGGCCTGCGACATGGTTCCACTTCTAACAAATTCCACTGCTTTTAAGAGGTCATCATTATTGTACGACGCATACTCCCGCTTCCCATTTCCTTTACATTAACTCCGAACCATTGCCCTGTAAAAGATATCGGTATTTAAAACATTTTACACAAAAATACATTTGTGAAATTATTTATTATATACAGTATTTACTGTAATGTTTTTATGATTTTAATAGTGCCAACAGAAATAGAATACTAAAATATTAAAATCAATATTGAAAGTATTATATGTTGATATCGGCCTTGTCTAGGCCTAGGACATCTATTTTGTTTAATTGTATTGGTGGGCGTGTCTATTCCTAGCCTCTTCCGGTATTAGGCCTAGGCTTGTTTGTAGGGCCTACCCAACACTATAACAGCGGGCTCCAAGTACAGGACTAATGAGGGTAGCCTCCCTATTATAGGCCTGTCTC